ACTACGAGAACAACAATGCCAATGGCGGCATTTTTTGTCAAAAATACTACGCACGAAGTTAATGGTGATTTTCAGCTTTATTAAAGAAAAAAGAACTTTGAAAAAGCAACAAATGCACAGCCCATTGTTTTCTGGTTCAAAATATATAAAAATGATGCTTTGAAAATCGCTAAAAGTGAAGTTATAGGGTTCCTAGTAGGCACATACTACGAGAACAACAATGGCGACATTTTTTAGTCAAAAATACTACGCACGAAGTTAATGATGATTTTAAGCTTCATTAAAGCAAAAAGAACATTAAAAAAGCAACAAATGCACAGCCCATTGTTTTCTGGTTCAAAATATATAAAAATGATGCTTTGAAAATCGCTTCAAGTGAAATTATAGGGTTCCAACTAGGCACATACTACGGAACAACAATGGCGACATTTTTTAGTCAAAAATACTACGCACGAAGTTAATGGTGATTTTAAGCTTCATTAAAGCAAAAAGAACATTAAAAAAGCAACAAATGCACAGCCTATTGTTTTCTGGTTCGAAATATATAAAAATGATGCTTTGAAAATCGCTAAAAGTGAAGTTATAGGGTTCCTAGTAGGCACATACTACGAGAACAACAATGGCGACATTTTTTAGTCAAAAATACTACGCACGAAGTTAATGGTGATTTCAAGCTTCATTAAAGCAAAAAAAAGTTGGAAAAAGCGATAAATGCACAGCCCGTATTATTTTCCTTTAAACCATCTACATAAAATGTCTTGTAATTTGCTAAAATTATAGTTACATGTTACAAAGTGAGGGTATAGACGTAGCCATCAATTTTGTAGTCACTGTAAAAAAAGCTTGTTTATGCTGGACTCACACATCACACGTAGTTGTAACTGCTCTAATGCACCCTCGATTCATTTTAGATGATAATGGCATGTTTCAAATGACAATTTGTAGCTTCATTCTCCAGATATAGGGTTCCCAGCAACTTCCTAATTTTCGATATTTGCGAGATTCGGCGATAAAAAGCAAACAAGACGGCAAAATATGGCTGAAATCGTGTTTTCGTGGGGGGTAAGTGAAATAAAATGTATTATATTTAAAGAAAACAATGACAATCCTTATGAAATCAACAATATTTATATTAAATTAAGCATAGTTTTCCACCCCATGATAATTTTTTTTAGGAAATAAGAATATTTAATTTCTGCCAGGCATATTAGTTATTTTGTGCATAATCAGCAATTTACCTGGGGTGGTGCATAGTCATTTTCTGGTAAAATATTATACTTCGACAATTTTTTCCTTCCAATGACCACCCCTAAAAGCAACCCTTCTAAACACTATAAGCACTTCAGAAAGGCTATCGCTTTTCCTTTTTGGAAGTTAGAGCTATGTCGACACTGCCGTTTCAGGGCGGGTCATTTTCAGGACTTTCGTCCCGGATTCAGGTTTTCGCACATATGCCATGTTGACCGCCATGGTCATTTTACCCTAAAACAGTTGAGATTACCTGTCCTAAATGAATCGCATACAAACTCATATACAGGTCCTAGACTAAATGTGCTTTTATGAGTTTATCGGCACTTTTAACTGCCCAAAATATACCACTGATCGATTGGTCAAAAACAACATTTAGTAATGTCTTTTACAAGGAGACAAAATGTACTTGCAAGCTCTGAATGATGGCTTTGTTGTCTTAGAACCTTGTGTCGAATTCTTATCTGTAGATAACTTACCTAAACTTGTCAGTGTTTCATGTTGTACGAACATGTTTTCTTACCAGATATGTGATTCTGTGATCGACACAAGTAATATTAATATCACCTGTAGTGCATGCGAAAACAACTACAACACCTGTGAATGCTTTTGATGCACAAAATAACGATACTAAAACCAGGCTGCCCATGGTGGTAGGACAAAATAATAACACTCTACCCATTGTCGTAGAGCCCATTGAGGCAACTAGTGATCTGCCCATTGTGGTAGAGCCCATTGAGGCAAAAGCTATTCATCTGCCCATTGTGGTAGAGCCCAATGAGGCAAAAACTATTCGTCTGCCCATTGTGGTAGAGCCCACTGAGGCAAAAACTATTCATCTGCCCATTGTGGATTTGTGGTAGAGCCCATTGAGGCAAAAACTATTCATCTGCCCATTGTGGTAGAGCCCATTGAGGCAAAAACTGTTCATCTGCCCATTGTGATAGAGCCCATTGAGGCAGAAAACAAAAGCAAACTTCCTATTGTCGCAGAGCCTATTGTGGCAAAAAGTAACACTGATCTATCCATTGAGGTAGAACATGATTCTGTGGTGTCTAATGATCGTGAGGCAAACAATGAAAACCAAATTTGGTTTATAAATTATGGAAGAGAGCTTCAAGGTCTTATTATAACCAGACAAGAAGTTGAGTCGCAAAAAAATTTTCTTGTCAAAATTCAATGATGCCGTCATGTAATATAAATAATAAATAATACACAGAATTTCTATAGCGCCAAATCTACAGTTCTCTAAGGCGCTTTACATTCATACCACATTAAAAATATGGACAAAACCTAATTTACTAGTAAAAAAGTTTAAAAAGTTTAAAAATGTGACCTAGACCTAATTTACTTATAAGAAAGTTCAAAAAAGTGCGTTTTTAAACGTCTTTTAAAAATGCTAAAACTCGTCTCAAGTCTCAAGCTGTCTGGTAAATTGTTCCATAGTGTTGGGCCAGATCTTCCACAACATCGTCCACCTTGGGTAACCTTCTTAAACCTAGGAATAACCAAAAGGTTTTTGTCATCTGCTCTAGTGCCTTTGTTTTCACGCTTTTTTAACAGTTCAGATAAGTACTCTGGTGCAGTTCCTTGGAGACATTTAAACACAAGTAACAGAATTTTGTACTCTATTCTCTTTTTCACTGGTAACCAGTGGAGTCTTTCCAATATCGGTGTAATATGGTCGTACTTTCTTGTTCCTGTGATTAATCGTGCAGCCAGCTTTTGCACACTATATAACCTGTCCAAGTCACAATTTGGTAACCCATATAGGATAGCATTACAATAGTCAAGCCTTGATGTAATCATACTGTGTACCATTATTTTTGCTGCATCTTCAGTAATACATTTTCTAATCTTACGCATATTGCGGAGCTTGAAAAAACAACTTTTCGCAACATTACGAACATGACTCTTTAAGGTAAGCTTGTCATCAAGTTCTACTCCTAAGAGAGTTACTGATTCTGATTTAACAATACTTTCGTTTTCGATTGACAAGCAAGGAAAATCAGAGCAGTCTCGACGAGGACCTGTCAAAACCAGGAACTTTGTTTTATCATCATTGAGCTTCACCATGTTCTTTGTCATCCAAGTTTTTATGTCATGCATCAGAGATTCCATTCTATCAATGGTTTCCAATCTATTTTCATACTTAAAGGATATGTATAGTTGGCAATCATCAGCATATATATGAAACTGTACATTGTGTTTGCGTGCAATATCTCCCAGTGGCAATATGTATAGTGTAAAAAGTTTTGGGCCAAGGACAGATCCCTGGGGGACACCAAAGTTTACACGTTTTATATCTGAACGTTTTCCATCAATAATAACTCTTGTTGTACGGTCGCTGAGATAGGAACGAAACCAATTCAAACACTGCCCAGAGACACCCAACCGACTTTCGAGCAGACGCAACAAAATACTATGATCAATGGTATCAAATGCAGCACTCACATCAAGGCTAACCAACAGTACAGTTTTATTGTCATCCAACTCAGATAAAATATCATTGTGTAGCCGAACCCAGGCAGTTTCAGTAGAATGGTGTTTCTTATAAGCCGATTGTAAGCTTTCATCTAAATTATGTTCCTGAATATGATTTGTTAATTGGGTATCCACCACTTTCTCAATTAATTTTGAGACATAAGAAAGATTAGATATTGGTCTGAAACTGTTTTCTTCATCTGTGCTGAGGGAAATATTCTTCAGTATTGGTGTCAAAAAGGCTTTTTTGAACAGGGTAGGCACGAATGCATCATGCAACGACAGGTTAACAATTTTTGTTATAATCGGGAGTAAGGCAGGAATACATTGCTTCAAGAGCCAAGTTGGAATTGGATCAAGTTCACATGATTTGTTGTTAGTTAACCGAATAATGTTTTCATCAATGTTTTCAAATGAACTGCAAAATTTAACTCAGATTGAGGAAATGTTAATTGCTCGTGCTTTGCCCATCATGAGAGTTTATATTAAACCTGGTGGTCAACGAGGTTATTCTGGGCATTGTATTAACCTGCCACAAAATGTCAAAGAACTTGCAATGTCTTTGCCAAGATATCCTAAAGACTTAGCTGTGATTATTGTCAAGGCTAAAGGTAGAGAAAACACATTCAGAGATGTGACCATGCGAAAGCAAAACGTGCACAATGCTTTAGTTCAATGGCTTATCAATAATAATCCACATTATTCATTTCTGAGTTATTAATTAATGAAGATGCATTAAATTCCTTACCTGAAAATGGTGTACCACCAGATCTTATGACTGCATGTTGAGACTGATGATGATATAGTCTCAGATGACAATTGTTCTCCTGATGTAGGTCCTCCTATTGATAATCCATCAGAGGATATTGTTTATAATGACTCTACTGAAATGAGTAGTTTTTTTACCTGTTGGCGAACAACAACAACAGGACCCTGACGAAAAAAGTCTATAGGTGGCCTATAGGTTCTTATAGGGAATGTTCCAATTCCCTATAGAAGCCTTTAGGCACCTATAGAGCTCTATAGGCTTATAGGCATCCCTATAGGTCACCTACAGAAAATGTTCCAATTGCCTATAAAAACCTATAGGTTTTCTATAGAAACCTATAGGTTGGCCTATAGGCAGGCCTATAGACTTTTTTGTTAGGGGAAATGGAAGCTGTTAGAAATCAGCTGTCTGAAAATGAGCCAATGCCGTGACCCTCGGTTGAAAATGAGCCAATAAACGAGTATCAGGTATCACATCTGGCCACAATGGCTTTCCCAACTTTATTTCCAGATGGGAAAGGTGATCCTACTACTGTAATCAAGGACTTCTGAGAGATGTCCCTCTTCAGGAACGAATAAAGCATCTTCTAAAATTTGCTGAAATTATTGATGGTAAATGGGTATACCGTTTTGCTAACCACCCCAGTACTGTATTCATATTGGGCTTCTAATATGATTCAAAGAAAACGAATTTTACAACAAAGTGGAATATTCCTCAAACAGAATCCAGGTGAAGCTCATCTCACAATTGATGAACTGCGTGAAATGGCTGCCAGTATCGATGCTAATGTATTTATGTCTAAAGTGTCGAGATATGTTGGCAATATTGCAGGTACTAATGCTTACTGGAATAGAGTAAGAGAGGAACTCAAAGCTATCATAACTAGTGTTGGAGCACCAACATTATTTTTCACTTTCTCTTCTGCAGATATGCATTGGCCTGAGTTGCATGCTTTATTTAAAGCTGATCGATACTGACAATGAGTTAGATAATTCTACCAGTGATGTAAGGCGACAAAATGTGATCAACAATCCCCATGTTGTAGATTGATTTTTCACGCAAAGATTAGAAGCTTTGTAAAACACTGGCTTTATGATACACTTGGTGCAAAATGGCACTGGTTTCGATATGAATATCAAGGTAGAGGTAGTATCCATTGTCATGGTACTGCATGCTAAACTAAATAATGACCCAGGGTTGTGTCAACTTACTCAAACTGCTTTGAAAGGTTTCTTAGCTCAAAAATTTAAAGATGAAAATGATTGTTCTGACACAACTGAACTAGACCAGGATATTGAAGCTGGTCAGAAAGCAGCTGACACAGTATATGTCAGTATGTTGATTGGTTATTATCAACCGTCAATCCTAATCCACCAGATGAGGACATGTGGATAAGACCTGAGGTTCATCCATGTCAAAGAAGTCGTCATGACATTCCTGAACATGAAAAACAATCAGATTATGTAGATCTGTTAAACATGGTTCAACGACATACTCGTTGCAGTACAAGTTATTGTCTTAGAAAGAAGTCAAATGAAACAGAGTTGAAATGTAGATTTCATTTCCCTTTTGATATTTGTCCTAAGACAAAATTAGAATTTGAAAAAATTCATACTTCAGGTGATAATGAGCATTATCGAGCTAAGATTGTGACTAAACGAAATGACTCAGGGTTAAATAATCACCCACAACTTCAGCTCCAAGGATGGAGAGCTAACTGCATGATATTCAAGTTGTTATTGATCACTATGCTTGTGTTGAATATCTCGCAAAATATGCAGCTTAAGGTGAGCCAAGATCACCTATATTGAAACAGGCATTCAATTCTATTGTGCAAAATGTTGACAGTAATACTGACCCTCGTAGAGTCATTAAGAAGGTAGTTATGAAATCTCTTGGTGAAAGAGATTATGCAGCTCAAGAGACAATACATCATTTATTGTCTTTAAAACTCCACAGCTCATCCTTTAAAGTGATGCCAGTTAGTCTAAATGGTTCATGTAGAGTGCGTGATAGTGCAAGTATTGATGAGGGTGAATCGTGCACCGATTATTCACTGCTTGATGTGTATGCTAATCGTGAACAATATGAGAGTTCACAAAATATAATAAATATGAACTTTGTTGAATTTGCTACAACATACAAAGTTGTTAACAATGAATTGACAAAATTGCCAGAGAATATTATACCACGAATATTTCCAACATATTCTCCTAATCCCAAAGGTCCAAATTTCGGCCTAAATTGTAAATATCAACTTTTGAGGTATAAACCGTGGAGAACAACCCAAAACAATGCATGGGGTGACCAAGAACCAACTGACGAGGTTCTGATCAATTGTTGGCATGACTTTTTACAAACGCCTTATGTACGTCTAATGTCCCAGACTTGTTTGATAAATTACAAGCTGTCATTCAAAGTCAAGAAGCAGAAGATGAACCTTCTGAAGAACAGAAGACAACTCGAGAAGAATGGATGATATTATCAGACCTCAACAGTCCTTTTGAAAACTCTGAACAAACACCAGAATCCACATATGACTGGCATCTCGACAGAGCCAATTATTCCGAACAACAAATTCAAGAAATGCCAACATGGATAAAAACAAACAAAGAGGAATACAGTATTGATGAGCAATATGATGTTGTTGACATCAACAGTTTTAGTGAAATGCAAAAACTTGCTTATGATATTGTTAAGTCTCATTTTGATGATACATATCTGAGAAAGAGCCATTATGTCTCAGTATAATTGGTGTTGCAGGAACTGGTAAAAGTGACCTTATTAATGCTATTAGAAATCTTTTGCAAACCATCAACCACCTGACTTACCTATTGCGGTAATAGTAGAATTTGAAAACTATAGAGGACCTGTTTTTAATGAAAACCAACCATTTTGTATCCCAATATATCCAATCACTGTCACATCACAGACAGAAATAGGTTTCCATGAGAGGCAACAGTTACCTCTTAGGCTTGCTTGGGCTCTAACAATACACAAGAGCCAAGGACTTACACTTCCAAAAGCATGAATAGATATTGGCAAATCTGAAAGAACTGCTGGAGTTTCTTATGTTGCTATTAGCAGAGTAAAATCACTTGCATCTTGTGTCATTGAGCCAATGACGTATGAACGATTAACAAGCTTGAAATCATCAGCTAACTTACAATATAGGCTTGAAGAAGAAAACAGGCTAGATCAGTTAGCACAGGCTACTAGCAGTGCATTTACAACAACAAACTATTGAGTTTGAATAAGAGAGGGATTTCATATATGGATCCCAGTTATAGTTGAGTATGTACTTTGACTATATACCATTTTAAATAATTTAATTTATTATATAATAACTAATTTACTCCTTGTTATCACTGTATGTATGAAAATATTATGATTTGCAAGATATAAGAATGGTAAGTTTTTTTGTTTGTTTAACCCCTCCCCCTGCCCTACTTTTATTTTCACTCAGTTATGTGCCACTACTGTATGTTTCCACATAAATTTCTCATGCTACCAATTATTTTTTTCTATAGTTTTGCAATTCTGGTTGTGAATGGTGCCATGTTAACTGTGGATAATAATAATAATAATCTGCAAAAGTTTACATAAAAATATATTATACTATTAATAGAAAGTCTCTACGAAAATTTAAAACTAAGGATTAAAATTTTAACTATGTAAAATATTTGTCTCTAGCGTTACACATTAAAAAGTCTTTGCACTGCCGTGAGAAATGTCCGAAATGTCCGAAATTCCTAAGTTCAGCAGGTAGAGCATTGAACAATTGCGAGGCTGTATCTTGAAATGTTCCACTTTCTAGCGGTACTTGAAGTTTCTTTGCTGCGCTTGAGCGAAGTACTCGCTCACTTGATTGAATTTTCAGCGAAAGATATGCTGGCCATGGGGATTGATGTAATGCTTTGTGTGCCATTTTTAGCATGTGCCAGTCGCGTCTCTCCTTAATAGGGAGCCAACCAATATTAATGACGTCAGCAACTTTAGCGTAAGAGCCTTTAACAAAACCAGCGCATGCATTTTGGATGCGCTGTAGTCTCTTTAGTTGATAGTCATGTACAGGACTATAAACTGTGTCGCAGTAATCTAGCTTTGATATAACAAACATTTCGACTAATTGTTTACGTAAGTTATACGGGGCCATATGCTTTAGCTTACGCAAGACTGCCAAGACAGCACAACAGGAAGACGTCAAATATTTTATTTGTTCATTCCAGTTTAAGTGATCAGTAAAAATGACGCCCAGTAATTTGGTAGCAGTTTCGCGTTTTATTTCCTGTAATAAAGTAATCAGCTATGGCGGAAGGACGTGCTCTTAATAGGCTCCATCAAAATGTTGCTAATACAAATGAAAATAGTTGTCTGAATTCCTTTCTTACTGGTGCTAGTTGCACTAAACTGTCTGGCATGTCTTATGATGGAGTAAGTTTAAAGTGGACCGGTGATTTAACAAATTTAAAACGAATTGTACGAGAAGTGTGGGGCCTTGAAGGCAAATGGTCATCACCTGGGGGCCAGTCGAAGAAGTTTTCTAGCACAAACTCTGACTTAGTAGTCACATGGCATAAAGGTAAAGCAAAATCTGTGTTTTTAAAGGTAGAGACGGTGTTTTGGTGCGAGATCGATGTATATTGCTTTGCGAACAAGCAACTCAGTCCATGCTAAAGTCACATTTGCCAGACTCCAATGAAATTAAACTGTCGCAGCAAAATATTACAAGTGCGTGTAATTTTCCTAACCTATCGGACAGAAATATGAATTCCGCCGTCGATTCCCGTTCCCTGGTTGGGAGACTTGATGCATGCAACTAAATTTTTTATATATGTAAATATATAGCGTACCAATTTTGTAAACGCACCATAATTCAATCTATTGCGAAGGTGTGTATCTTAAACCATTAATAATAATAATAATAATAATAATAATAATAATAAGATCTAGTTTAACTTTGTCGAGGGAATGCGTTCGTGACATTTGAGCTGTAGAGAACAGCATTGATTTAGTTTTTTTCGGATTTAATGACAAATTCGAAAGTGAGGACCAGTGATTCAGGGAATCTAACGATTGTTGCATATTATCGATTGATTGATCGAGTTTGGCAGTTTTACAATGTCCATACAGCGAAGTGTCATCCGCATATTGATAACAGGTTTGAGGGACATCGACATCAGATACATATAGGTTAAAAATAAAAGGACCAAGTATGGATCCTTGTGGTACTCCAAAGCATACAGGGGTTAGGTTAGATTTCTTGTCATCAATTTGAACATATTGGAAGCGATTTGTTAGATAACTCGTTATCCAGTATAAAAAGCCATGGGAGAAATTTAGTCGGTGTAATTTTTTTAGAACGGTCTTAAAGTTTATGGTATCGAATGCTTTCGAGAAGTCTGCTAAAAGCATAAGGGTAAGTTCTCCTTTTTTCATAGCGCTCTTAATATCGTCTCTCATAGCCATCAAGATCGTGGCAGTAGAATGGCCTTTTCTAAAACCAGACATATTGTCGTTAAGACAGTTGTCGATAAAAGGCAACTGCATGCTGTTTGAGGACGAGTCTTTCATATATCTTGGATAAGACAGGTAGGATTGCGATAGGCCTAAAATCATCATGGGTCTTTGGAGTTTCCGTTTTAGGAATGGGAGATATTCTTGAGATCTTCCAAGCAGAGGGAAATGAGTTAGCATCAATACAGGAGTTCATAATGTGTGTCAGAGGAGCTGCGATTATATCAGCAACTGGTTTAATGTACTTTGATGGAATTTGATCAGGACCTGTCGAACTATCATTACGAAGATTATGCAATTCTTTTAATACTTCTGCTTGGCTGACCTTATTCAAACTGAAACTTTGCTCAGTGGAAATAGGCAAAGAGTCGATGTAAGCGTAGAGATCGTTATTGCTAACGCTATTCGTGTAACCCAATGTCCGCTGAACAGTACAAGCAAAATGCAAATTCAATTCGTTTGGGTCATGTCGAAGTGGCTGCGAAGGGGGGTTTAAAATAGAATGAATTACTTTCCAGATCTTTTTGGAGGATAAGACTGTTTGGTAGAAGGATCGTTTAGCCGCCTTGATCTTGGTTTTTAGACTGTTACGAACCTTTCTGAAAGCATTCCATATACTGTCAAGAGAGGTCTTGTGTGCTTCAAAGCGCAATTTATTGCGTTGGATTTGGAGAGCTTGTATATCGCCGGTTTTGAGCCACGGACATGGGGGACGAGTGACTTTTATTCGCTTTATTGGCGCGTGACGATCAATGCAGTCTTGGATATATTAGAGTGTTAAATGACTCAAGCATATCTTCAGGATCGCTGAAGGCATAGATTGCACTGAATGGCAGTGAGGAAACGTCAGTGTAGTATGCTGCCATGTCTACGTTTTTTTCGTCACGAATTATTTTGTATCGTGGCTGAGAACGGGAGGTGCGGACATTTAGGCAAACGTAAGGGGCGTCGTGATCGCTGACAGAAGGACAGGGTAAAACGTTCGAG